GTGCCATACCACAAAAGTGACCAGATCCATTAACAGAAAAGAATAAATATAAAGGTGCACCTTCACGACTGGCTTCTTTATATGCTTGATCCAATCTTTTATTACCATGTTCAGTACTACACCAAATCTCATATTTAATGGATCTATGAATATCATCTTCAGAATAAGACTTGATTACAAAAAACCTAGCTCCAGGAGCAGTTTCATCAAATTCTACAGGATTATAATCATTTTTTACTTTTAATTCATCTAAAACAGGATGTGACTGTGATTGTGTAATTTGCTGTTGTTGTGGCTGTAGTTGTTGCTGCTGTTGCTGTTGCTGTTGCTGTTGTTGTTGTTGTGGAGGCATATGAATCTGTGATTGTGGAGGTGATGGAGGTGTTGTAGGTTGTCTATTCCAACATGGTGGAGGAGGAGGAGGTCTTTGTCTCTGAGCCAATGGTGGAGGTGGTGGAATAGGAGGCTGTACTTGTGGTGGTGGAGGTGCTGTTGGAGGAGGTGCAGATGATTTACCTTCACCCCATGTTCCAATGTCCATATTATGTTTTCCTGGCACAATAGGTGGTGGTGGCATTCCAGCCTTTTTTTTCATTCCTTGAGAAGATGAAAGTGGAGGAACAGGCTTTGCAGGTTGACTTGCAACACTTGCCCATGTTATTTTTCTAGGTTCTTTTGTTTCTGACTTTATTGATTGATTTGATGAAGTTTGCTGATCTTGACGTGGAACTTCACCACTTCCTAGTGACAAACCTTGCACACTTTGTTCAATAGTCTTAATTTCTGCATTACTAGGTGTTGGATAATTTTCATTTCCACGTGGAGCCTGATAATAATCTTCATAGCGTGTTTTTCTTGGAGTGCCCCAAGCACTAAAATCACCATTTCCATGAAAGTAATTAAAAGCAGGTTGACCAAATGTACTAAAACCACCTCCTGCACTAGCAGAGAACATTCCATCCATGCCATATGCATCATGACCTATTTGACCTCCATAGCCAGAAAGAAATGCAACGGGATCTGTTCCATTTGACCAAGTACCATCCCCAGCACCAAATGTTTGATAAGGGAATGAAGTACCTGCATAATAAGGACTATATGGGTCACCAGTCCCAATTGGATAACTTGAATGATGTGTACTGTTGCCTCCTCTCCATGAATCAAATCCAGAATCTTCTCCACCAGCATGATCTGTCTGTGCCTGCTGCTGGTGTTCTTTAGGACCATTGCTCACTATCAGTATGAAATTTTATTTTATTAATATGTGACATGAATTCTTCTTGATAAAGTTATATAAAATTGATTTTTCAAAAACTTAAATAATTTTTAATTAAAATAATATTTTAATATATAATAACAATTTAGTTATTTTAATATATAATAATTAATATAATAAAACTATATATATTTAATAATTAAATATCATAAAGAACATATAATTTACATTTAATAAAATGTAATA